CCATTCCAAGTTACAGCGGCTCCGAAAAAAGTGACTTTTGACCGTTTTTCACACTTATGACCATTGCAGCCTTCCTGTGGTCATTTGAACCAAATTCGGACGCTTGGCTACTGACTCATATTCATGACGATGGCAGTCTTCAGGAGTCACGTGATCCCTTTTGTGTCCTTCTGACAAGCGAAGTCATTGGGGGAAGCCAGATTCACTTAACAACCGCATTACTAACTTAACAACCGCAGCGATTTACTTACAACTGTGGCAAGAAAGGTCATAAAATGGAGCAAAATTCACTGAACAAATATCTTAACAAAATTCACTTAACAAAACTTTGGGCTCAATTGAGTCGTAAGTTAAGGACGATCTGTGAATAAAATGCAAATAAATAAAAACCCTGTTAAAAATTTTTTTTCTCTGTCCTTCTTATCACCTTTCTTATCAGTCTAATATCTTCCTCCAGAGCCAGGTAACAAATGCAGCTCATGATCCCTTCTGTGTTTGTTTGTTTGTTTTAAAACTCGAGATGAGCCGAGGTGGCGCAGCAGTTAGGGTGCAGTACTGCAGGCCACTTTAGCTGACTGTGTTCAGCAGGTCAGCAGTTCAAATCTCACCGGCTCAAGGTTGACTCAGCCTTCCATCCTTCCGGGGTAGGTAAAATGAGGACCCAGATTGTTGGGGGAAATGTAAATATATATATATATATATATATATATATACACACACACATTGCTATTGCTTACTGGTGTATACCGCTTAGAGACTGCTTGCACTTAAAGCGGTATATAAGTCTCATAAATAAATAAATTACCATCCCCACGTGATCCCTCACAGATGGTGGCTTCCTCCTGATCCCTTTTGGAGAGGAAGGACCGAGTCAGCCTGTGTCTGCAACTCAGCTGTCTCCAGCAGCCACTCCTCTGGCTGGATCTCAGGCTGTTGTTTGGAAGCGGGAACAACCCGCGGCTTTGCTTGGGGTAAAATTAGCCTCTGACTGGGCCTGGAGAGAATGTCCTTTTGGCCCGGCCTGCTTTCCGTGGCCGAGCGGCACCACCTGTGCTTGCTGTTGCCCTTCTGCTCCCTCGCTTGCTCTCTGCAAATGTCAGCACCTGTTTGCTGTTATTTTCCCCCTCCCGGCTGGCTCAGCTTTCGGCCTCGATAAATATTAATGGGCGACCTCGAGGCTGACTTTTTGCCCGACTGAAAGGTGCCCTTTGGGGAGCACTTGGCTTCCTTTCTGGAGGCCGCTGCCTCTCTGCTCCGGCTCTTGCAGACGGGATCTGTGTCAGTGCAGCCTCTCGGATGCTGGCTTGTTATTCCAACTGTTGGTCAGGCGCAGACCGTGAGACTGACTTTTTGCCTTCAGCACGGGTGTTGGGTCCGAAGGGAAGGGTTTGGGTTCAAGGACCTGGCTGTCCCTTCCATGAGCTTTAGGCAGCAAGGCCAGCGGTGGAGATTATGGGAATTGTAGTCTGAAACATCTGGTAGGTGGCAGAGTGGCTCAGAGCTGCAATCAAGGGCCCATGACCTGGCTGAAGGAGAATATATAGCTGCTTTTCACCAGCATGTACAATATTAGCAAAAGAAATGCAAGCTTTCCATGAACTCAGAGCCAAAAATTTGCCTTAACTTCAATATTAGTAATAAGCAGACAATTTGTGACCCATGGAGTCATTGTTCCAGACATATTTCCTTACCTAAACAGAGAAACAGAGAGACCACAGACAGGCAAATAAGCAGTGGGGATTGATTTCCGACTTCCTGCTGTCTTCTCCACTGACTTTCCTTGTGGGAAGCTGGCAGGGGACGTTGGAAATGACAAACATGTGACTATGGCTGACTTTGCCAAATTTCAATCCCAAGGGAGCCAGGGGTCCTGGATTTTGGAGGGATTCTTTAAGTTAGCCCGTTTGTGGAAGGTGGATTCAAACACGGTTGGCCTCGGATGCGCTATTTCACCCAATTGAAGGCTGCAGATAGACAAATAGACAGAGTTTTAGTAGTGCATAGATTATAGCAGTGGTTCTCAACCTGTGGGTCGGGACCCCATTTGGGGTCGAACGACCATTTCACGGGGGTCGTCAAACAACGCAGTCCGCCATTTTTTCCCCCTTTTCCTTAGCTGTGCCACTCCCTTTTATTCTACTGGCTTTTGAAAGCCAATAGAATAGATTCTCTTGAATAGAGTCTAATTCTATTGGCTTTCCAAAGCCAATAGGAATTGCCCTGCTGAGCCCGCCAAAAGTCCCATTCTGCAAACGGTGCTGCAAGTTGTCTGCAGCGAAGGCGAGCTGTCTGGAAGTTTCCATCCCTCCCTGCTGAGCAACTACTAAAAATGTAAGTAAAAGAGGGCCAGGGGTAGGAGGTGGGAGGCTGGCGGGCGCAGGGAGGGTTGCTGGCGCCTGCGCCGTCTCTGCCCCTTATCAGCTGCGCCTCGGCCGGTGCAGGGGGCGGCACCACACATGCATGGTGCTCCCGGGCAGGGAAAGTCCTTGACTTACGAACAGTTGGGTAGTCCTCGACTTACAGCCGGTTGGGTAGTCCTCGACTTATGACTGGTTGGGGGCTCATGGCATTAAAAAGGTTGAGAACCACTGGATTATAGTGACAACTTGAAGGGAAAAAATGTTGCAGCACCTTTGGTTATCCCGAAAGGCAGAACTAATGGCAAGGCTCAGAAGCAAGGCCCGTGATGGCTGGGGGATTCTGGGAGTTGAAGTGCACACATCCTAACATTGCCAAGATTGAGAAATGTGGGTGGGATTCCTTGGCACGGCTTACACCACGTGGGTCTTTAGGCAACTTTGTGCTGCTGTTGGAATTCAAAGCCTGAGTCATTTCTCGTTCTTTCTGCACACAAGTCTCACAAAGCACATCTAAGATCCCATGTGAAGCTTTTTCCTTTTTCTTTTTAAAGGAGCCATGCCTGCTGCAGCTTTAAAAGGGCCCAGGGAAGGAATGCAGGGCTTAATTGCCAAGGCTTTGATCCCCAGCAAATCTTGCACAGAATAAACCACCTTAAAAAGCCCTTGGTTGCTGCTTGGTCTCCTATCCAGCCCTCTTCTGGCTTTGAGATGCCTTGAAGCCCATAACTCGATTCTAACACGGAACACCTTTTTTATTCTCCAACTGCTTGAGAGACCCTCCTGCCTCCATTTCAGCTGCTCCCCAAACATTTGCTGCCCCGCCTGGTCCCTCCGTCCAGACTTGGGCCACCTGTAGAGCAGGGGATCCCTGGTGGATCAGAGCTTTGGTCTTCAGGGATGAGGTCACACAATCTGCTCGATCCCGCAGCCAGCTATGGAGAACGTCACGCTTTCAGAACCAGGAGAGATGACATTTCCCCCATGTGCAAAATGCAGCGCAGCTGTTGGGAGCAGCACAGCTTGTATCACCACTGGGGAAGCCGAGAGCTCTGGATGTGGGTGGGTGGGTGGCGCGTGTGGGAAAGCTCCTCAGCCAGGCGGGGCAGGGGGGTCATTGCCTTTGGAGATCTCTGCTCCCCAGATGGCGAACCAAAGCCAGCCCCTGGTAGCCATTCCTGCTGGCCTTTTGACTCAACCCTTCAACATATAGGGGTGGGTGGGGGGCTTTCCTAGCAGCAGGGTACCACATGGTTGGCCTGCCCAAGTCTCCAGCAGCCCACCTACCTGTCTTGCCTGGGAGATGCCTCTCCCCAGCCCAGGACCATGGGACTCTGCCACTGGTTGGGGTGGGATTGACAGGCCGTCAAAACCTTGTGTGTCCCATCACGCTTGGCCAGTAAAGAATTGTATCGTATTGCATTGCAGTGTATTGTATTGTATTGTATCCTACTCTATCCCATCCCATCCCATCCTATCCTATCCTAATCCTATCCTATCCTATCCCAGGGCTTCTCTTGCCAGACATGCAGATCCCAGGATTCCCTGCCAGCTGAGAGACGCTGTTGCCTGGGAATTTGGGAGCTGCAAGCTGCAGCCGTGGGAAGGGTCCCAGCTTGGCAGCAGGGGGGCTTCTGTATGGCACCGAGATCCAAGGATACTGAGCACTTTTTCTTGTGCAGGAAAGAGTCCCAGTTTTGAGGGATGTTGGGTCCTTATCCCAGGAGACTCTGGGAGCTAAATTTAGAGCAGGGCAGCTTCAGTTTAGGCTACTTTCCTTCTGGGTGAACTTTGAGCGCCTGGTAACTTTGAGGGTCACTGGTGTCGGGGGTCCCTGGGGTAAGGGCTTCGGAAGGGGAGCTTTGCAGCCCCTCTCCCTCTGATGGGCAGTCAACCCCCAAAGGGAAGAAAGCCCTCTCCCCCAAATAGGCTACTTGGCCGGATTGGGTTTGCTTCCAGCTGGGGCTTCTGGTGCACTTTGCGATGGCCTTCCAGGTGGGGTGACCTTCATGTCCCCTCCCGCCCCCCCCCCGCGTCAGTCCGCCAGCCCCCGTTTTCTACCCTTGGCCCGGTCTGCTCCGCTTGCCCCTTCTCAATCAGCCCGAGTTCTCCCCGGCCCTTCCAGGCGGCTTCTCGGGAGGAGAGGGCCGGGCTCCGCGGCGGGTCCAAGGGCAGCCCCCCGCCTCCCCCGGGGCATTTCCTCTCGGCGTCAAGGAGGCGCAGCGGCGGCGGCGGGGGGGGGGCAGCGGCGGCGTCCCTCCTGGCCTTGGCGGGCGGCCCGACGCTCCCCACCTCCTGCAAAGTCGGCGGGGGGGGGAGCGAGGAGCCGGCTCCGGCGGGCGCGGGGCTTGGCTGGCTGGGGAAGCGCGGCTGGTGGTGCGGAGACCCTCCTCCGGGAGGGAGGGCGGGACGGAGGGGGCCAGGCAGCGGCCAACCAGCCAGCCGGCGCGATGGCGCTTCCGAGTTCGCAGCCAAACTTTGCACGGGCGGCGGCGGCGGCGGCTCCTCCGCCCGGGCGAAGGGAACGCTAGAGCGGCCGCGGCTGGCGAGCGGCCCCCGCCTTGGGCCGCAGCAGGGCAGCCCGCGCCAGCCCCGGAGCCGCCTCCCCAGCGCCGGCGGAGCAGCGGCAGCAACGGCGGCGGGGAGGCTGCAGCTGGGAGTCCGCGGAGCGCCGCCAACTCCCCGCCCCGACCGCTCCGGCCGCCCGGCGCCTGCAAGATGAGCGGCCGGCCGGGGGGAGCCTCTTCCAGCCGCAGCCGCCGCCGCAGCCGCCGCGGCTCCTCCGGGGCAAGATGAGCGCTTCTCCGCGGAAGGAGGCGCCGATCTCCCGCAAGCAGCGGCTGATGGCCGCGGTCGCGTCCGGGGACGAGTGCGCGGGGGCGGCGGCGGCGGCGGCGGCGAGGAGCCGCTGCTGCCCGCCCGCGCCCGCGTCCCCGGCCGCCGCCGCCGCCTGCCCCTCCTCCGCCGCGGCGCTCTGCTGCTTCATCTGCGGTGGCGGGATCAGCCGGGGCAAGGAGCGGCGGCTGCAAGTGCGGGCGCCGCGCGGCCCCCAGCCCTTCTTCCCCTTCCTGCAGCACCAGGAGCCGGCGCCCGGCGCGCGGGAGGTGAGCGCCGAGGGCTGCGCCCTGGTCTGCGCCGTCTGCCGCTGCTTCCTGGCCGAGCAGTGGGACGCCTTCGAGCGGGCGCGGACGCCGGTGGAGAAGCGCATGTACTGGCTCAAGCGGCCCTACCAGTGCGAGGGCCCCGCGGCGGCGGCGGCGGGAGGGCTGCGCCGGGCGCCGCAGGAGTGGAACCCGGGCTACGCGCTGGGCACGGACGACGAGCGGCGCCCCGGCAGCAGCCCCGACCAGCCTCCCTCCCAGCAGCGGCGGCGGCGGCGGCCCCGAGGATCGCCCGCAGCGGCGCCGCCCGACGACTCCTCGCTCTCCTCGCTGTCGGACGCCGAGACCTTGTCGGAGACCGAGCCGCGCTTCCCCGCCGCGCCGGGCAGCCCCGAGGCCGGGCGCGCGGAGGAGCGGAAGAGGCCCCGCCGGGGAAGCCAGCTGCGGCCGCCCCCGGAAGAGGCGGCGGCGATCCCCTTTCACCCGGGGAACGGGCTGCCACTGGCTCCGAAGCTTCGCAGGAAGCGGCAGCGGCCGGCGCGGCGCCGGGCACGAGGGGGTCTCCTTTGGAACGCAGCCATGGACGCCTTTGGACGGTCGCAGCCCGGCTTGGAAGCGCAGCGAGCCGAGGGGCCGGCGGGCGAGTGGCCCCGGGCGCCCTCGGGCTGCTGCTCGTCGGAGGAAAGCGAGATCAACATCACCAGCGACGAGGAGCCCCGGACGGCGCCCGGCGGCGGCGGGGGAGCCTCGGCGCGGGGGGCCGGGCTGGCCTGCTACGTCTGCGGCTCCCCCCTGACGCCGGGCTCGCAGCAGCGCCTCCACGTGCAGAAGCAGGAGCAAGCCTCGACGGCGCCCTTCTTCCCCTTCCTCTGGCTGCACAGCCCGCCGCCCGGCGCCCTCCCGCTCAGCCCTGCGGGCAGCGCCCTGGTCTGCCCCGCCTGCCACGCCTCGCTCACGCAGCAGTGGCGCAGCTTCGAGGGCGCCGACGTGCCCGTCCTGCAGCGGCTCTACGTGCTGCCCCGGGCGGCCGCCCAGCCTCGGAGGGCCGGGACGGCCAGAGAGGAAGGGCCCCCCGGGGCCCCGCAGCCCCGCTCGCCGGAAGCCTGCTACCTGTGCGGGGAGGACTGCAGCCAGGACGGGCGCCCCGTCTCCGCCAAGGCCCCCAACGGCAGCTCCAAGGTGGCCATGCACTTCCCCTTCCTCAGCCACCTGCCCTGCCCGCCCCGCGCCAAGGGGCCGGACCAGCGCTGCCAGGTGCGCAGCTGCTCCCGCTGCTACCTGGTGCTGCAGGACTTGTGGGCTACCTACCTGGCCTGCCGCAACGAGGAATGCATTGCTTCCGTGCAGAGCTTCCTGGGCAGATACCACCAGGTCTTCGCCGCCGTTGGGGAGGCCGAGGCCCCGGCCAGGACCCCGAGGTTGACCCAGGCAGGCCTGGCCTCCAGCTGTTACATCTGCGGTGCCCAGCTCAGCCCTGGCAAGGAGTTCCAAGTCAGCATCAACCCTCCTGCCGGCCGCTTTGGTGAAAAGGAGCCCTTTTTCCCTTTCTTGGCCGTCTATCCGCCGGCTCCACGGGCCAGGCCGGCCGAGGCCACGGGGATCGTGGCCACCTGCCTGCTGTGCTACCACGACCTCCTGGCCCAGTGGCTGCAGCATGAGCAAAGCAGTGCCCAGCACCCCAGCAGTGCCTGGTCTCGGCAGTACAAGGTGGACACCTTTGCTTGCTTCTTCTGCCGACAAGAGAAGAAACGGCACCTTGGATTAAGAGGGGTGCCAGTGGCCAGGCTGCCCGTCTTCTTGGGCTCCTTCCGGGGTCCGGGCACCTTGCTGGTGGATGATGGCAAGCGGCTGACCATTGGCGCTTGCCCTGAGTGCGCCATGCTGGTGCTGGCAGGCAAATCGGCCGTGGCCAGGGATCTTTTGGCTCTGCCTGCAACTGTGTCGCTGTCCCTCCAAAAGGTAAGCTTCTGGTTGGCCTTCTGATGGGGCCTGGTTGCCTGGCACTTGGGCAGGTGCCAGGCTGGGGGCCTTTGAGCCAAGACATATGTCCAGATCCAGGTTCAGCCAATGAATTTCTGTCCAGGTGTGTGAGAAGGCTGGAGCGTGTTATCCGTACCGCAGGAAGCGCATCAGCGCCCAAAGTTGACAAGACTTGCTTGTTTTTAAGTAGGGCTGCTGTTCTAGGTTTGCATCCTAATCCTTTGGACCCTCCTCCGCCCCCCCACCCCCCCGTTGCTTTCTAGCTCTGTGCTGGGCATCCTTTCTGGAGGGAGCCAAAAAAGGAGTCAGGTCCCCCTTTGCGAGTCCCACTTGAATCCTGCAAAAGGCAGAGGTCCCTTGCAGAGCAATTGCCCAGCCAAGTCTCATGAGTCATAGTTTGCAGGCCAGGGTTTGATGGAGGTGCATAGAAGTTGCTTTCTGCCTCATCGCCGGAGAGCAGAGCACTTCCATGTGGTTTGGGTCTTTTACAGCAAAGGCGTTAAGGCAGGGGTCTTCAAACCTGGCCCTTTTATGACTTGTGGACTTCAACTCCCAGAATTCCTGAGCCAGCACAGCTGTGCTGGCTCAGGAATTCTGGGAGTTGAAGTCCACAAGTCATAAAAGGGCCAAGTTTGAAGACCCCTGCTTTAAGAGTTGCCTTCTGGTTTTTTTTTTTTTTTTTTTTTGCAAGAAAATGGTTTTGCTCAGCTGTGAAGGCGAGGGAGCATCAAAGACAAACCTTGATGGATCTGACCAGTTTCATTCTGGTTGCCCTCATAAGCAAGCAAACAAGAGGTCATAGGAGTCGTGGTTTGATTGCTCTGAGCAGCATCCTTAGCTGGTCTAGACGAGAGAGAGAGAGAGAGAGAGAGAGAGAGAGAGAGAGAGAGAGAGAGAGAGAGAGAGAGAGAGAGAGAGAGAGAGAGAGAGAGAGAGGGCTGCTTTGATGACAGCAGACAATGCTTTAAAAATAACACTGAGAGAGAGAGAGAGAGAAAGAAGGAGAGAGAGTTGCCTTCCCTGTGGTAGCCTCCACTCTTTACAAGGCTCTTCCCAGAGACAGGCGTAGTCTTGATCCTGGTCACCTTCCATAATAGTGAAAAACTCTTGTCTGTCAGCAAGGCTTTGGTCCAGGTCAATTGAAGAATGGCCCCTGCCATGTGGATTGACCCAGAGATGTTTCACCTCTGTTTGTGTTTATTTGTTGCCTAGAGACCTTTAAGATAGCAACTTTTATGAGAGCAACAAGGTTGAAAAGTTCAAGAATTATGGCCAGCCATAAAGGAAGGCCATCTCAGGAGTAACTTGGACAGAAGCTGATCTCCTCTGAGGGCACGATTGAGTAGGATGATGGAGAAGTAGGATGATGGGGAAGCTTCTTGAAGATGCTCTTCTGCTTTGAAGAATTCCCCACTCCAGATTGCATCTGCAAGTCAGAAACCGTCAAGCGGTACTAAATGCTCAAGACAGGCGGTTGAACAGAATAATACAGTTGGAAAGGATCTTGGCGGTCATCTAGTCCAACCCCTGCTGACATAGGAGACTCTGTATTTATTTATTTATTTATTTATTAATAAAATTTATATGCCGCCCAACTCCTAGGGACTCAGGGCGGCGTACTAAATTAAAACAACAAGTATAACAATTAAAAATAAATACATTCACACAGCATGTCCCAATCGAATCCCGCCCCCCCCCCCCAGGGACATCAACCCCAGGCCTGCCGGAACAGGAGAGTTTTAATAGTTTTCTTGAAGGCCGGCAAGGTGGGAGTAGTTCGAATCTCGGGGGGGGGAAAGTTGATTCCACCACGTCGGAGCCACCGCAGGAAAGGCCCTTCCCCGAGGGCCCGCCAGCCGACATTGTCTGGCCGACGGGACCTGAAGGAGGCCCAATCTGTGGGACCTCACCGGTCTCTGGGAACTATGCGGCAGTATGCGGTCCTGTAAGTAACCTGGTCCTAAGCCATACAACTCACTTGTATCATTCCAGACAAATCCAATCTCTTCTTAAAAGCCCCCAGCGATGGAGTCTCCATAACTTCTGGAGGCAGGTTGTTCCACTGGTTAATTGTTCTCACTGTCAGGAAATCCCTCCTTAGTTCTAGGTTGGCTTATGACCGTTTCTCACGACCATAGCAGCATCCCCATGGTCAAATTCACACACTTGGCAACTGACTCATAGTTATGACGGTTGCAGTGTCCCGGAGTCCCGACTTTCTGACAAGCAAAGTCAGTGGGGAAGCCGGGTTCACTTAACAACTGTGGCAAGAAAGGTCGTAAAATGGGGCAAAATTGTCTCACTTACCTAGCAACAGAAATTTTGGGCCCTCAGTTTTCATCCTAAATCAAGGACGAGGTGTGTTTCCAAGGCAGGGGAGGGGGCTGTTTTTTCTGAAGCCCAGGTGGGATCAGCGCCCGACTCTTTGCTGCGATTCTTGCTTTAAGTTTTCCTTTCCCTCCCTGTAGAAGGTCATGAGTTCATAGAGCTCTCTCTCTCTCTCTCTCTCTCTCTCTCTCTCTCTCTCTCTCTCTCTGTGTGTGTGTGTGTGTGTGTGTGTGTGTGTGTTCTGTGCCAGGCCAGGGAACAGGTGGTGCTAGAGGATCCCTCCCAAAGTCTTGCAGACCCTGCCTGTCATCGCACGAATATCAACGGGAGACGTCCACATCTGTTTCCCTGCAGCATTTGTCATGGAGAAGGAAGGGGGTGGGAAGGTCCGATAAGGACTGGCTTGCACCATGAAGCCCATGGCTCTCTGCCCAACGGAGGAGGGCTGGGCTAGGAAGTCCGGTGGCCGCCTGTTCCACCAACAAATAAGGCCCCCGCTTTGCAACTTTCCGGGAGGGAAGAAGCCAACGGGTTGTGTCCCAGCCCGGCCGTCCCTCCTCCGCCCTTTGCTCTTTTAACAGATCGCCTGGCTGCCAAACGGCAGTTCCTGCTTATTTTGGCAGCCTGCTCGGCATCTGTTTCAGGAAAGGCCCGTGAAAAATGGTCCGTTCGGCTCTGGCCTGACTCACCACAGGCGGCTCTTGACAGGAATCTGGAGCCCGGTGAGGGGCCCGAGGCTGCGCAAACCATCTTGTGGGTGCCGAGCGAAGCAAGGCGGATGTTGGGGAGCTTTGGGGGAGATGCTCACCAAATCCATGCCGTCCATGCAGCTGCAAAGCTCAGTGGCACTTTGGTTTCTTGTCTGGGTCGATAATTCGGGAGCACAGCTTTTTCCTGGACAGGCGGGGTCAAAGCATTGATCTGTTTATCCAGGAGCTGTTCCAACTGTGTGCAGGGCCCGAGAGTGGATGAGGACCCTCATTGATCCACAGGGTGGTCAAGGAGGGCCATGGATTCATCCAACCTTGTGTGAGCCCATCTGGTTTCACTCTCCTTTGCTTTCGCGTCCTTAAAAGCTGGAAACCTGATTGAAAAGAAAATGAGGAGGCCAGAACACTGCCTTGCCCCTGGCTGATTGCAGGTCTTTGTATAACAGGCGCTGTCTGTTGTGACTGGCAGCTCAAGAGCACCAGGTCAAATGCTGTGAGAAGGTTCAGTTGCTGTGAAAGGCTTCAAGGCGGGGTTCGGCCCTTGCTCAAAAGCTGCCTGGTCCTGCTTCGTAAAAAGTGATTCTGTTGCACGGCTTCCATGTCAGAAAAGGCATGGAATTTTCAGAAGAAAAATGCATGTTGCCATTTGCAGCTTCTGGGCGTAGGTGGGTGGGTAGGTAAAGAGGTGAGGGAGGAGGAAGGAAGGAAGTTAGTTGAGAAAGGGAGAAAGGAGGGAAGGAGAGAGGGAAGGAGAGATGGAAGGGATGGAGGAAGGAAGGAAAAGAGGTGACAGGCAGGAAGGAAGAAAGAAGGAAGTTAGTTGAGAAAGGGAGGAGGGAGGGAGGGAAGGGAAAGAAGAAGGAAGGAAAGGGCAGGAGAGAAGGAAGGAAGGAAGGAAGGAAGGAAGGAAGGAAGGAAGGAAGGAAGGAAACTTTATATTTTTCTGCAGTTTGCTTCCTTCTTTCTTTTCAGGAAGGAAAAACAAGCAAGCTTATATTTTATACTTATCAAGAGATCACTTGATGGTTGGGTCTTGGGGGGCGTTGTAGCAAAGTGGGCCTTGATTTAATAGCCCCTCCGAAAGGGTCTGAAGGCGTGGGGATTTCCTCTTGAGCTCCAATCTCCATCAGGACAATTTGTGGGAAACTGAAGTCATTAAATGGAGAGAAGGGGGAGAATGTGGAGTTCTCCGGTCTGTTGGTGCGGCTGCGTTTCCGCTGGTTGGCAGCCAAGCTAATTTCTGCATTTCAGAGCAGACTCCAGCCCATCTGCTCCCTCGCTGGCAGGGCACACTTACCCACCGAGCCCATTAAGGGCTGCAGTCTTGCAAATCGGTGCAAAGGAAGCTGAGCAGACCACCAGGGAGGACACCCTTCCCTGGCCCACCAGTGTGGAACGTAAGGGGGGGGGCATGACTTTGGTGGAAGCTCAGATGGACTTCATGGGGTAGCTGTGGACACCAAGGAAACCAGAACTATGGAGTCATGAATGTGCCAGAAAACACTTTTGGAACATGAAAATTCTGCAGAGGTTGGAATTTCTACCTTAAAATAGAAGAGGAGGGAGAGTGATGCTGTCTGTCTGTCTCCCCCCCCCCCCAGCAGATAATTCTATGTCTGAAGCCCTAAAGCAGTGTTTTTTCTTTCAAATTTGGCACCTTTAAGATGGGTGAACTCCAGCTAGCTGTGGAATTCTGGGAGTTGAAGTCCACCCATCTTAAAAGTGCCAAGTTTGAAAAAACACTGTCCTCAAAGGATTGCCCATTGTATAGATCCAGCCAGACAAAACAACTAAATAAACAATTTCTCATCTTCCTTCTATTTAGAGCAACACAACATTTATAAGCCATTTCTGGGAAAGATTTCAGGCGCCACCTCCCACTTTGGATGGGGCTAAATGTGAAATGGATAGAGTTAGAAAAAAAAACCCCAGGAAGTTTTC